GAACATGCATATACGGTTATGCGTCTAACGTTAATCATATCAATAGAAAATGTACAAACTCGGTAAATCACATGAGCATTAATATTAAAATAATGATTCTCCGAAACAACAGAAACATTTCACAAAATTATTATAAGTAATAGTTGATGAAAATGTTTTAGTTGTAATGATGTAAATTTACTTATCTTTCAAACCTGATCGAAGAGACAGGTTTATGATTGTATTTTATTTTGTTCACAGCCGCACACTTAACTCGCTATCTATTTAACAATTATTCCACGAGCGCGCGTTCGATATGAGATGGTAGATAGTCAACGAGGCGCGTAGCGCCGAGTTGGCTATAACTATTTCATATCCAACAAGCGCGAGTGGAATAATTGTTTTATTAAAATAAAACGCCCCCAAGATATTAGACAAATCTTCTCGACTTTATTTTGTGAGAAGAAACCGGATGTTACAATGTACAGATATTAGATTATGGTATATTGACTCATATACCATAATGGCTAAGCCAATAAAAAGTCTTGAATTGCATTATCCAGTGATCCGGTTTTTAATAATATGTGATATATAGTGAATAACTAAACCAACCAGATTGCAGATTCCGTGGTATAACGCAAGCAATACTAGTCTTACCTTGCTGAAGGGCCTCCATGTAGGCTTGCTCTGCACTCTTTTTACTTCTCCTAATTAAACACAAATAAATGTATCACATCTTTCTTTAGATAAAAAGACGCAGTTTCGCTCCCATTTGACTCAAATCAAGACCTGATCTTAACATTAAATTAAAAAATTCCTCCTGTTCGCCCAAATACTCACCTTTTACGAGACACGACAAAGACAACAATGACCACTACCAGTATAATAAGTAGCAGTGCTCCTCCTCCTCCAGCTATGTAAACAATAAGCCGTATTTTCTGCGAGTTATCTGCAACCATTTAATCACGACAGTAATTACTCAACATTTCAAACAGGAAATTTCCTGAGCTCCCAAAAATAGAGAAAATTAGCCAGAATTTCAAAAATACGTTTTTATTGACACAATTTCCCACTTTCAACCCTATCATTTTTCTATTAAACTACTTCCCTCACGTTTCTGTCATTATTTTTACCTTTTTTCTTGTTTTCATTCATTCTTGCTCTAAGTAGCCATTTCCCGGTGTACACCTCACGGCGAAAAAAAAAATTCAAAGGGCAATTTCTAAAATTTTTCATTTACAAGCCGGGTTAATCTTCTTAATCCTTAACCATCTTTATTCCATTTTGGTTAATTCTTACATCTTGATTGGTTTTCTATACCAGCAATGTCATTACAATCTTTCCCGTCTGTTAAACTGTTAAGAGTAACTGTCCGTAAAAATCAAACAAATTTCAAAATCCGTTGCAAACCTTGAAAAATCGAGTTCGCTCATACTTTCAAGTTTGGAAGGGTAATGTGTCCCAAGAATCCTGGTAGATTTGGTTTGGCTAAATGTCGTTTTATTTTTGGAGATATATGTGAATAAGCGAACATAGTCGAAAATGTCGAATTCACGGCTGATTTTAGGTCCAAATTAAGTGGCTTAGATCGAAGAAATGAACTGATTTACAATTAAAATAACCTCTAAACCCTGATAAACAATGCCCTAGCCATTGTGTGACCCAGTTATAGACTAACACGCAATTCTATGATTTTTAAATGATTTTATTCTTGGACCCTATATTTTCCAACGGTAAAAGTAGTTCTTACAAGTAGTGTGATAACAAATTTTCTCCAGCTCTAAATATACTGAGATTTCGCCAAGAGAGCCTCGAAATAAAGGTCTTTCGATAGATATAAATAGATCCTAGGGCAAATGTTTGTGTGTGACACTGTAACGAACCAAACTTTGGTAAAATTGTATCTTTGTGACCTTCGGGTCAAATCACCACACGAACAAATTTATACGCATAGTGGCCGTATTAATCGTACAAAACAATTAAAAGAATGCCACAGCAGGTAAAATTAATACATATCTTTGATATCCTTACCTGCTTTGGGGTTCAGGATGGCTTTTTAACTGATTTTCTGGCAAAATTTGAATTCATGGATTCATCACGTATTATACTGCACACAGGGAGCCCAATAACTTCTCGGCAACGTGAACCTTGTGTGTATTTATTTTCAGCTAGTTCCAAAAAATATTCTAAGGAATACATTTACAATAGTATAAAGCTGTCGAAATAAGATTTGTTTACATTCTGAGTTATTATTTACACTTTGAAGCAAAGTTTTAGCAGCCTAAACGATTGACGATCTTTCTTCGAAAAAATGAAGTTACACGCACTTTTATTCTATATTATATTTTATTCCTATTCAGCGCGTGAGCACTTGCAAATTTTCGGTTTGCAAGTGTTAAGTACATCATAGTCTGGACTCCATGGATGTAGACAAGTCCAGGCTATGACGTAATTACCCAATGACATACTTGACACAAGATTCTATGCGTGTGCTTTGAACGATGAGAATAGAATAAAAGCACGCGTAAATATTTTTCATGCCAAAAAATCGCTGTAAGGGTGGGCTGCTTTCTCTGAAGGACCATTTATAAATCTACTTCAACATTAAAACGTATTCTCAGCTATTACTTACAGTGTACGTTATTCAATGTGAACACACTCAGCACGTACATGACCTCACAAGTTCGTTCAGCAAATCAATGTATGGTTTCTTCCTTTTTTGTTCAATTGAGGATGTGTAAGCTCGAAGTACTTACAAATGTCCCGTAACATGTGTATGGAAAACTTGGAAAGCTTCGCAGCTGCAGCCATTTCACAAATATTGAAATTGTCGTAGGTAATAGGATGCTGTATTAATATCTCTTTTATCACTGCTTCACGCATCTGCTCGAACTCATTCTCCGCTATGGCGGATAGCAGGTCATGATCATCGTAGTCATCACCATCATCATCAGAGGCTGTATTTGATTGAGGGATGGACTTCTTGGCAGCGGTGCGGGAAAAGAAGCTAGCTACTTGTTGTGATGTCAAGTATTCATCTGACCTGAAGATAAGGGAACCATTTGCATTACGAGCTTTTCTCATTGATTTCGCTACTTCATCAGCATCTGCTTTCCGTCCCGTTTGTTCTCCTAGAGTAAAGAGGTCAACAAGGTACTTTTTTTGCTTCTCACTAAAACGCTGTCAACTCGTTGAGACATTCTTGAGAGCCCAGCCCATCTTTAATGAGGAAGCGTCGTTAGTTTGCAGTTCCTCCAAGATCTCAGTCACGCTTTCCTTGACAGTCTACGTTCCACTTTCTAGGTTATGAGCATACCTCAGCATCGCCTTGTCTAGCAAGGTCTCTCTCTCTATGGCGTACTTGTGCCTCCCTACGTCAAGATGTCTTTGTAGGGAAGAAAACTTTTGAAAGGTTTTGACACACCCATCTTCTGAGCAGGCAAAAAGAATATCTTCGTCTGTATCAGAGCTCTCTTCGGAGTCATGGGATGGCTTTTTGGCCTTAGCAGCACGTCGTCTTGGAGACACTTCGCAGAATTCAAGACTTGTGTTTGGTACATCTGATAACTTGGTAAGAATGGGAAGGTCTGTTTTTTCCTTAAAAGCGAAGTTACTATAGGGTACATCTTTACCATCACCAACATTGTAAGCCCTCCAAATTTTCATCTCCTCTTTCTTGAATCGGACGTCGTTAATAAGACTGACTCCTGCCCACTTTGGAAAAGGGTCGGGGTCTGGTATGGTCAGGGAATCACACACTGCAGTAGCTACACCACGTACACCACCATTGGACTCTATTGCTGATTTCATGTGTTGTGCAGTAGAGATGTCGTGGCCAAAGTTAAGATAGGATCGCATATGATTCTTCACGGCAGCAGCTTTACGATAACATGGGCCTTTCCCACCTTGTGGGTCGGAAAAGTCCATGCGAACAGAAAGGTTGTGCTTTGTGCCAAGCTGGCGTACTCCCAGAATTGTAGCAGCATTCTGGTAGCAGCCAGCATTGTCCTGTCTAAAGTTTACTTGCTTTAACCCAGGTATCACACTCTTCAACTTCTCCATGGCGTCATCAACGATAGCTAGAGCATACAGGCTGTCTTGGTTACTTTTCTGGAAAACGTGGACCAGCGTTACCGTCTGTAGAGTGGTTTTGTCTGAAGGCTTTCTCATGGCCACACTTCCATGCCAGGAAATTCCTCTCTTTCCAAACCAGTCTGCTTAGCTTTCTCTGTACTTTCTAGGAATAAACTTCATGGCCCAGTCTAGAACCACCAATACAGAATTGTCGTCCATGATTATCATGTCGAACCTTACCTCATCTTGGTTGATTAATCTCAGAATGTGACACTTCCAGCTCTCAATGTTCTTCCCGCATTGCGCTAATACAAAGTTCAATTCTTCCTTGTCTTCAACAGGTATGTTAGAAGTTTGAATCTGGAGCTCAATCTCTTGTAAAACATTTGGTAAAATGTTACACCCGTCACAGCTTACATTGTGTAGGTGGTCGCATGTTGTGGTAAAATCAGAATCTTGAGAAAGACTGAGGGCGTACCGTCTGCAGTGATCAGGTACACTTGAGCTTGTAGAGACATGAACTTGATACAATCATATTAAAATTACAAATATTTCATCTATCATCGGATGAAGTACACATACACCTTTGAAGAGTGAGTTAGGGACCACCGGCCACACCCACTGTGAAGGTGTAAAAGAAGTTGAGTATATTTCGATATTCCTAATTGTACCTGGCGTTAGCCGAGGGCAACTAAAATAGCTTGCAAAATAGTCATAGCAAGTCTAAGTTAAAAGCATGAGTTATTATAAAGCAATTATTATGAAATCACGAGATTCAGTGAAATATCACTAACCTTGTAATCGCCTTTCAAGGAGCGCTTAGCCAATTTAAGCTTTCTTGTTTGCTCCTTTGACCAAGACAAGCCCAGCTGCAGTTTAAAGACGTCTCCGAGTTTATCCACGATCTCCTCTAGATCATCGAATGATTTGCTGCCTTCTTCTGAGAAGTAGTGAGAAGTAGTCCAGACCTTGAAGTGAGGTGCGAACGGACGCAGAACAAACATTCTTAGTATTCTAAACAATCATTTACTCACAGAGAAGCAATGGGCCTACCGACGCGGCTACTCGACTGAGCTCTTCCTAGTACATCTGACAGAAATATGGAGGAGAGCGTTAGACTCTGGTAATGTTGTCGCAGTAGCCTTTGTGGACTTCAGAAAAGCGTTTGACAGGGTATCACACGAAATCTTACTGAAGAAGCTGAAATATAATTTCGGTATCACGGGAGTGTTGCTAGATTGGATTAGGGACTACTTGAGGGGAAGAATGCAGTACACTGTGATTAATGGAGTCAAATCTGAGATGTTACCAGTAACAAATGGTATACCACAGCGATCTGTTTTAGGCCCTATTTTGTTCACTTTGTTCACTAATGATCTGCCCGCCGCCATTACCACGGGATCCCTGTTAATGTACGCGGACGATACGTCAATTTTCAGCATCGGAGAGTCTGCAGACGCAGTGATTGCTTCCTTGAACTGTGCCTTGCAAGAGGTCTACAGGTGATGCCTAGAGAATCGCTTAACACCTCACCCGGCTAAGAGCGAAGTCATGTTAATTAGTACACCAACCATTATGGGACCGCTACCTCCAATATTTTTGGGTAAATCTGTTTTAGGCTATGGCAAAAAATCGCGTCTTCTTGGAATGATTGTAGACGACAAGCTTACCTGGATACCGCATATGCTAGAACTAAAGAAAAACTTTGCGAACAAAATATACTTATTGAAGCGCTCAAGGTTCTTGCCCAAAAATGTCCTTTTAAAGTTTTATTTTGGTGTAATATTACCTTCTGTGAAGTACGGTATTATATTATGGGGTTCGTGTACGAATTCGGATCTTCTGTACTCAATTGAGAAACTTCACTGTAGAGCAGCAAAAATTGTCTACAACTTATCCAAAGATACGGAATCTAATGTAGCTCTCGACGGATACGATCAATTTAGAATACAAATTTTAAATAGTTAACCTTTTTTATAGAGCAAGTAGAGCGGACGAAGGTAAAGCTACAGGAGCGATCTTCATTGACTTATCTAAAGCGTTTGACACCATCAGCCATTCCGTTTTGTTAGAAAAACTGTCTCGGTATGGAATACAGGATAATGAACTGAACTGGTTTACGGACCATTTATTCCTCCGAAACCAGATCACTCAATTTAAGGGAGCATTGTCAGAACCTAACCCTGTTTTCACAGGTCATCCTCAAGGAAGCATTCTCGGGCCGTTATTGTTTTTGATTCATTTTAACGATGTCCACAAGCCGCTCCGTTATTCTGAGATTATCACCCACGCAGATGACTCAGTAATTTTCACATCCTCGAAAGACTTGGATATTATTCAACACAATCTCAGCGAAGACATCAATAGCCTTGCCTTCTGGTTTCGAGATAACGAACTTATCATCAATCTCAAAAAAGGAAAACTGAAGTAATGCTATTCGGAACAGCAAAAAGATTAAGTGGTTTTGATGGCAAAGAACTAAACCTCTCAGTAAATGGATCTCGCATCGACACGACTACAAATTACAAGTACCTAGGTGTCCATCTGGACCCTACATTGAACCTTGACAAGCACTTTTACAAAACATACAAGAAATCTGCAGGAAGAGTGAATTTTTTACGACGAATCCGTTCTAACACTGACACCTTAAGCGCTGAACGAATCTTCAGAGCCATGATAATGCTCACTTATTGCGGTCAAATTACGCTTGGTTGGTCAGAGACACGAAGGTGCCAAATAAGAAACCTGGAACAACGTAGTCACAGGATTATTCTGCAAAACTCAAAATGTCCAAACTGTGAACTCCGTCTACCCACAATTGAAAATTTTTTACAGAAAAAGGCTTTTTTATTTGTTTTTGATTGCCTAAAAGGCAATGTTTGTAGTCCTTTCAAAGAATATTTTAAAATTTTAATACGAGGAACAGAGGGACCACCGTTGCTCTGCCGAAAGTGAGACTTGGCTTTGCTCGGAAAAGTTTTTATTTTTTAGGAGCTTCAGCTTTTAATATTTTACCTTTAAAATCAAGCAAATTAGCAGTAGGGTACCATTTAAGGAGTCGTTAGATCAATTTTTTGTATAGGGCATTTAATTAGGTGCTACTACTACTACTACTACTGCTACTACTACTACTATATCACACAATAGCTAAGGCATTGTTTATCAGTGTTTAGGGGTTATTTCGATTGTAAATCAGTTCATTTCTTCGATCTAAGCCACTTAATTTGGACCTAAAATCAGCCGTGAATTCGACATTTTCGACCATGTTCGCTTATTCACACATATCTCCAAAATAAAACGACATTTAGCCAAACCAAATATACTAGGATTCTTGGGACACATTACCCTTCCAAACTTGAAAGTATGAGCGAAATCGATTTTTCAAGGTTTGCCGCCGGTTGTCTGATTTTTTCGGACATGTACTCTTAAAGCCTCGCGACGAAGATTTCTTTTGTTAAGGCTCTAGTGGTCTGTGCAACCTCTTTGTTGTCATCGTAGTCCAGCGTATGAACTAAAAACTTGAAGAGGCTTTATTCCCGTTTTAGTCGATTTCATATTCCATTTCAGTCACGGAAATAGTTTGAAGGAAAATGTGAAAATTAGAATACATTAGTTGACAGTTCAATAATGTCAATCTTACAGCAGATTGACTTAACAACGATAAACAAACTAACTTTTCCTCAACGTGTACGTCTTGATCCCAGCAGGGCCTTTTCCGAAGTCGTTTATTGCAAATACCTAGGGAGGTAAAGCACAGTATTCATTCACGATGTTTCTTTCTCAAGAGCATAAGAAGTGACGTCCACTGATGCTTAAGTTAATTCAGACTTTAGATGAAGTTCGGTCTACCTGAAATTCATAAGTTTTTCCCGCCTTCAAATCAAACTGCGCCTCCATTTTCTCGGTGATAAGAGTTTTGGTTTCTGTCGTATCATCTTCACCTAAATAAGTCACGTGGTACTCCTTGATGACGCCGTTCTTTTCCTTTAGAGTCCACGATACAAGAACAGCCTCTTCTGGTTGTTCAACTGACAGTGTCGGCTTACCTGGAACTAGTTTGTTAAACAGAAATAAATAAGCAGTCATGAACCACGACACTCCAATTAACCCTCATAAACATTTAGCTCATAGTGTCTGTGCAGACATAAATAGATTCGAAAGGGATCGGTTACGCCTGTCTCGCTTGGACCTTTTTTCCCTATATTGAGCCTAAAGGGAAGGACATTACATTTTGTGTCAAAATTAAATATGTACAGAAAGGCCACTGGTGTAATGTTTAGTTTCGGTTACGAGTCACCACGTCACGCAAAAATAAAGTCATTGGTTATCTTGGATGTAAATTTTCAACTTGATTAAACAAAATCACAGACTTTATCAAAATATGAAGTTATTACAAGACCAGAAGTCAAACGGTGAGTTTAAACTTGGTTGTCATTGAAACGATAATTCACACAAACACCACTGTGACCATTAAAAATGCTTAGGCATGACTGGTCAAATTCTTCATAAGGAAGACCGTAAGTCACTTTAGGCATTAAAATAGCTAGACAGTGGAATAACGTTAATCTGCATTTAGAAAATTTAGCATAGTTCCGCTTTAGACTTACTACATCTTCTATCGTGGCCGGGAATAATTTAAGAGCTACTTAAGTAAATACAAATCTTGTTTTTAACTTCACTGATTCAGACAACGTTTTTTGCAAAAATTATAGGAGAAACAGCCCAGACTCTACCTGAGTACTATTTCCGAGAAATAAGTAGTAAAGGTTTGTATGATACTGTATTTAATCTGCACACCGACTTACGTGATCCGTTAGTCCTTATGTAAATGGCCGAGAAGTTCGCCTTGACTCCATATTTCATTTTCGCCACACCACTCACTCGGTTCCTAGCGTAGACTTTCATTGTGTAGTTTACAAATGAAGTAAGGTTTCCAACAATAACCTTAGTAGTGCTCAAGTCATCTTTTCTTGGTATGAAAATGATATCACTCCTGCAAGCTTCATCTACGCACTTCCCTTGGTCTTCACCTTCACATGGTCGACGGCATTCAACTTCATAAAACACGTGGGTCTGAACCCCTGTTTTTGCGGGAGGCTGCCACTGTATTTCCAGTGTGCTTTGGTTGACAAAGATAACGCTGACATTTTTCGGGGCTGACGGTATAGCTGAAGACGGACAGACGTACCATTAGCAAATGTGGTCACAAAATCAAAAGGTCCTTAAACAAAGAGAGCTTATTCAGGTATGAAACTACGTATTTTCAACAGAAAAAGATGTATTTTGGTCTTGTCACGAGCATGGGACAATAAAAATATTCCGACTCCACGTGAGGAATCAAACCTCATTCGGATTCCACGCCACGATGCTCTGAATTTCGCGCTCCGATGCCCCAACAATGAGCCATAAAGACTCATTGGTGAGCCAGGGCATTGACTGGGTTCATTGGTGACATGCGTCCTGCGCACTGCTAGGATCAGCGATGTAGAAGGTGTTGAAGGGCTGATAGTGGATTCCTCATGGGGACTCATAATAATCTTTTCTATGTCCCACGCTTATGACAAGACAGAAGAACATCTGTCCGACTTTCTTTACCGCGCTCAAAATTTTCTATTTATATAGTATTCTACTTACATATTAATTGTTTCTTACTATTAGGCAGGAAAACTGTAAGTAAATAAGTAAGCAAGTAAGACTTTATCTAATGAGAGTAACATTTGACAGTAATAAAACTGATAAACTAATGGCCCTCAAAAAAAAAAATAGCAATGGTTGTAACAATATCAATAGTAATTAAAACAGAACATAAGCCTTTGTACATCGCAAAATAAGACTATAAAATGGGGTTATATACAGATTAAAAATTGACATGAATAATTGCATAAGAATTTGATTATTTTAAAATCATTTTAAAAAAAGGAACGCTTAAAGTTTTTGACACTAGTACTCCGTTTGAGGTCCACACTTAGTTTGTTCCATTCCTTTGTTACTCTCACAGCAAACGTTTGACAACCTTCCTTACTTCTCTTCTATTGAGGGTAACTTAAGTTAAGATTGCAGAAACGGGTTGATCTATTATGTGTGTCAGAGTTTCTCAAAAATAAATCATTTAGATATTCAGGTGTATTGCCAGTAAGCCTTTACAAGGTTAAAGTGCATCGATTTACATATGATTAAGCATAGAAGGGAATCCACTTTAAGGAGTTAAATAAGTCGACAGAAGGTGCTGTTCTTTTGGCATCAAGAATTATTCTAGCCACACGTTTTTGAAGACGCAGGACTTTCAAAAGATTTTCTTTACTGCAAGAAGTCCAAATCATACTGCCGTAGAGCATTGTGGGTTTCATGGTCGTAGAGTAATATATGTCTCGTTGACTGCGTCTTAAATAAGGACTTATGTGACGAAGGAGTCCAATACGTTTCGTCAACTTTTTTGCATAACTCCTCAATCTGGCGATTAAATGAAAAATCGTGATCTAACGTTACCCCAAAAAGTTTGAAATCAGTTACATGCTCAATGTTTCTTCCATTTAAGTTAACATCTATTGTAGTAGAAGCGACAAGGTTCCGCAAACGTTTCCCTGTTAGCAGCAAGGACTTGGTTACTTGTTAGCTAGGCGACCATGCAATAACATGGGCCAGCTCTTGTACAAAGCAGCTCAGTCAAAACACATGGTTCACAAATATTTTCTTGTACTTATTATGAGCATCTTCTATGGAAACATTTCAAAGAGGTTGGTGTGTTCGATGGGCTATAGGTTTATCACAAGCAACTGTCTCGTTTTTCCTCCTTTTTTTGCTACTACACAAACATTGGAGATGACGCTAGTTCAAAAATTACATGTTGAGGCTAAATATCTCTTACAGACATCAAATTGGGAGCTGTTCAAGCGGAATTGTCATTATCCAAATCATTAAGTAAAAGCTGTTATGTATATTAAACTCTTCACTAAAAAATAAACGAAAAACAGCGTCTGTACCTGTACAATTTAAGCCACTCTCATCGTTATATCGTCTTTCTGGACAGTCTGGAAATAAATTAACTCATTAATAATAATGCTGCTAAGTGTGTGTTGTTAATAACGATTAAAGAGTCATTGACATCACAAATCGTTTTCTAATTACCTCCTAGACCAAGCGCTTATTAATTTTGACTGGAGGTTCGCGTATTTATGTAACGATCGTAATTCACGCTTTTTTTAGTATTGTTTCAGCGACATGCAGCCTTAACTCCAGTGAGGAGAAAGCGTTAAAACATCGGTTAAAAGACTGGCTCACACTGGGACATAAGTATCATTCAATGAGTGACGTAAGTGCGAGAACGAGGAAAGAACTAGCGTTGGCATAACAACATGGAAGAGTATCCATGTTCTAATTTTTACATTTATGCTTACGCACAGTGTGAAACAGCATTTGGAAAGACACTAAAATGGGAAGAATAAGACAACAAGGAATAAAGATGATTAGAGATAGAAAAGCCGGTTAGGACTGAATGCAAATGAATAAATTTACACTAAGAGTTTTCAGGTTGGACAAACCGTCATGTAGCCATTTGAAAAAACTTATGCGCATGTCTAATCTTTTTTCCTGGTCTGAAGGACACAGCGGCAAACTGATGCGCATGCTCAGCGGATTTGGCGCATTCGAGGAGAGTTTGTGATTCCAGCGTGAACGAATTTCGTTTGGGAACGAACGTCACACCATTTTTTAAATTTTTTAGGCTGTTATTGATGTAGACCAAGTGGACAAAGTAGTTGAGTTTTTTCTTATGGATAGGTCTGAAGGGTAAGTAGCGTTCTCTTACTTACATTTCATCCTAAGCTAATCTGAATTTATGCTTTACTTCATTCTCTAAATTCACATCACTATTTCTTACAACTTATGTGTAATGGAGGAGGTTCTAAAAATTTTCCTGAAAACGGCAATCTAATCTCTTTTGGTTTGAACTTATCCTCTCAAAATGAAAGTAGACATTGGGAATTTAAAGAGGGCCGCCATTTTGCCGCAATAGTGTTCTACTTTCTTTGCGCATGGAAAATTTCTCGCTCATTACAAGCACGCGCACTAATTTTGCCTTTGTGTCAGCCTGAAAAATTCTGCTGGTCAACGACACTATCTCACCAATATAAATTGCTAAATTTGTTTTTTTACGTGGTATACCTTTACATTCTCCTGCTGCATTTTCCATCCCCTCCCGACATATACAAGTTCCATTAAGTGAACTGATGTTCCAGACCCCATCACTCTGACAATCCAGGCTTAGAATGCCTTGCTTGTTAAAAGCATTAGTAACACAGTTAACTTCAACTGGCTTTGAGTTGTTCGCCGGAGCTGTTGTTTGTGGTAAGAAAACCAAGCCACTAATTCGAGGCAATTCTGGGCAGACGTAATAACTAACAGTGATGGAGAAAAGGACACTACATGAACCCTGGTCATGAAATGCCAAGAGGATGTATCTTTTTTTAACTCCTACACGAAACTTTTGAGTCACTTTGATGCCAAGAGCTGACGGAGTTGTTTTCGCAATCTTTATATAGCTAGCCTTGTTTGTCAGAGGGTCGAGAATTGATTGTTGCCAGGACTGATGTTCGTAGAAGTCGAAATAGTTTTTGCAATAATTCCCTCCTTTGTCAGAATACGATGAACAGTTAAATGTTCGGTACTCGATGGTAACGAGGACTGTTTTCGCCCCACTGTGGATCTCGATGGGATCGCTTCTTAGCCAGTTGTTTGGTTGTGGAAATTCATCCAGAGAAAGATCACAAGTTGAGTAATATGTCTGCTTTGTCCACTATTGGAAATAACCAGTTCAAATAATTAAATCGTGTAGTGGTTAAAAGATGAGCCTAAATTGCTCAATCCCCTTGGAAAAGCCATTTTGCAATGACTGAGTTAGAATTCAATTAAGTAGAAGGAATTTAGCAGTAGTTCCGCTGCTTGTAGACAACTCTAAGCTTTGGTTAGAAAGTGATTTTTCAAAATAAATTAAACAAGGAAAAAAACAACATTTTGTTTCCTAAGATCTCTTGGAGTTTCATCGTAGTATTAATTTAAACCTTCAAACCCCTACAGTTAACGAAATATACTGTTTGCCAATCAGTCTGAACTTTATGGTTTAATTTTCTCTGATTCAAAAATTATGGTTACGGTCATTATTCACAAAAAAAATTAGGAAAACAAAGTTTAAGGCCCAAACGAGTCCCGCTGGGAGGGGGTG